TATTAAACACTAAGGAGAGCACCTGGGTTCCCCTATAAAAGACTCTACAGGCTGTCTTAGGGCTCCAAGTAAAGTCACATGGGTGCTTTTATGACACCAAAGAGACTGTTGTGTCTTCTCTGACTAGTGCCATTCATTACCTAGATCAAGAATACCTGGCAAGTAACTGACTGTATCAGTGCCTTATTTGCCTGGTTCAGTCCTTGAGAAAGCCTACTCCTAGACATATGAATAAACATAACCACATCTTCTGCTTGTCCTTCATAAATAACAAATGATTAGAAGATCAAAATGCATATTTTGATAGAAAGTAGAGATGTCCAACTCTGATGCACTGAACTTCATAATGAATTTTCCTAGACTATATGTAAAATATATAGTATAAGAATAATGAAACCAGACTTTTTTTCAGTATGTAACTGTAAATTGAACTAATTTTGTGCTTGCCATTTGTATAGGTGGAGGGAGGAAGGATCTAAAATTAACTCAGAAAAACATCTAAAGGAAAAAGAATCTCACCTTTCAGCTGTAGAACTGCATTCCCAATGAATAGTCTGCTTTATTTCTTTTTTTAAATAGTCTTCTGGAAACTTATATGGATGAAGTAAACATCAGCCTTGAGTTTATGCTCTATATCTCTTGGTGGAACGAAGTTGCTGAGTGAAGAAGGAAAGATTCTTCTAAATTGCTGAAATCCTACTGCAGTTTTCCTAATATTTAGGAAATAAGAAACCTACAGACTGCTTAGAAAAATAAAGAAAAAGTAGGCAAATGCTCAGTCCGTAGGTTGAAGACGTTTAGAATATTGGCCACACACTGTGGTGCTCGAGAAGAACTTCGGTAAGGTCACTGTCCCTCTTTCTAACTCTCAGATGAGGAATAGTATATCCTTTAATATTAAGAAATGATAAAGGCACTGATGTGAGAGGCACAAAGATTTCACTGTGAGAAAGAAGAAGCAGACACCTTGAAAAAAAATCATCTGATTGTGTAGGCAGCTAAGATTATGGGATATGGCTTGCCTTTTCTTAGTGTATCATATCAAAACTGGGAAAGAGCAGTCAATGGGAAGAGTACAGTCTGTTATGGACAACCTTCACAGCTTTCAGTGGGTGCTTTGTTTTACAGCTTAGAAGGTAACACCAACCCTCCAGACTGTGAGGCTAATGAAATTTGTCTGTCTTAAAATATTGAGTCTCCCTTCCCACAAAGTCAGCAGCTCTAGAGTTCCCTTGCACCTGATTGCTTGGTGTGTGGGCAGGACCGTAATTTTTCTAGATGTATGGAAAAAATTGGTGTTAAAAGGAGGCAAACAATCTTCCTTTCATGGAATGACCAAGTAAGGTGAGCTGTGATAAATTCATGCAGCAACATGAGATGCTAGACACTGAGACACATTAAGGCTGCAGAAGTGTTTGAGATAGCTATCTGAGTTATTTGGCAGGATGCCTCGAGTTCCAAAAATATAATTTGCTATCAACTAAAGGCTCATGTGTCATTGCTGTTCCAGCTGATGAATGTGCAAACCTCCAGGTGGATGATTTGGAATTAGCTGTGAATTGATTTGAATAAAAGGACTGTGACAGATAAGAACTGCACAGCAATAAAAAATAATTTATTTCTCTTTTTTTAGCTTCACGACTCATCACCGTCTCCATGAAGACAATTCTGGGTATTGTAATTTTTATCATTTTTATTGGTATGCACAATATACCAATATACAGTTAAGAGTTGATTAAGTAGAACATTAGCATCTGAAAGAGAAGAAAGGTTACCAAAGTGCCTATGTTTTAAACTGCATCCGTATTTCTTGACTAGAAAGTTACATTAAAATTTCATGGTGTGTGGTGCACTTCAGTTCCACATTACTGCTGGACAGGGAGACAGCATAAACTGGCTACAAGTTTTTATACCCTTATTCTTGGGAGAATAAAAGATAGAGCTGTTAGAATGCTAGTAAAAGGGCCAGAAGAACTGTGAAGATTGAATTAAGCAGACCAGTATCTTTATACATTCTTAACTGCCTTGAAAATGCTGCCCTCAATGCAGGAAAATACTGTCCAACAACTTTTAATTGAAGGGGGAGAATAAGAGGATTGACTTTAGTTCCTACTGGGAAAAAAATCCTCACAATCTTTTCTGTAACTTCAACAAGGAAGGACTGTAATGTGAAGATACTTGGGTTTGTGATTTTACATATATATCCAAATGCGTTCATTTCACTGCTCATTTGTTTTTGCCTTCCTCCATTTCCTTCCTTGGAAGGATAAAAATAAGAAGTAAACAACAACAAAAAAAGTAGTTGAGTAAATGCAAGTCTTGAATACAAAATTATGCACTAAGAAAATGTTCTAAAATGCAGTTATTGCATTTCATATGGGACAGTGCAGAAAAATGTTTGGGGTTTTTTCAATTTGTGAAAGAAGCAAAAGAATACCTGAAGGTTAATGAGGACATTCTTACTACTAGAGAAGGATATAGCATATAGATATATGCAGACCACATTATCTAGGTCTCTAGAATACTTGCATTTTGAAAGATTCAGAGCCTAGAAAGATTGTCTTCCCTGACCTCTAAGGTTAATTAGTGGCTGTCAAAACACAGAGCAGTAAGGCAGTGAGAGTAAACCAAGTAACTAGGAATGAGCAGAGGAATGCATTCAGGAACCTGCCAGCCTGCAGCCACCCAGCTTGCATATAAATCAATTTTTTGCACATAACCCCAAAGTAGAAGAAATTACACAGTAAAATATATCTCCTGCTTTCAGTACAAGAGCAGAAGCCAGAAGTGTCTGCAGATTCTTTCTTGTCAGGACAGTGGAAAAAAAGTGGAATTATATGCTTCCAACTTCTGTTTATGAAAACTCAGAAAACAGAGGCAACATGACTGGACTTAGCAGAATCAGTCTTCCAACGTGCTTTCAGTAGCACTCATGGGCAGCCATGAGCAGAAGTGTAAGAAAAACATATGCTTATCATCTAAAATGGGAAGAGTCCACTTACACACTTACTTTTGGGGCATTCACTCAAATATGTAATTGTTAAATAAACCTCACTTTAACTGTCCAAGATCTAATGCTGGAAGGCACCTTATTGTGTGTCATTTTTCTCAATGCTAACACCAAAAACAATTGATTGTGCAGAGGGCTTACAGGATCATCTCCCTAAAGGAAAACTCTTTCTATTTTTTTATTTAGGCTCGGAATATTTCTAATATTCTTTCAAAATATGGCTGAAGGTGACTATTAGAGTAGATTAATTCATAATTAGAGATCAGTATATTCAACTCCAATTCAATCATCTTCTTGCATGGCTTAAAATATCACTGTCATTCTTAAATAAAATCCATACTTCCAAATGCAGAACACAGAGGTTTATAGAGCAATAGATTTTACAGAGTAATTTGCTAATGAGAGTTAGCAAAATCTTCAACATATGTTTTGAAACGAGGAGGTTATCATTGGCTTAGAAGACATCTGAATGGGCAGATTTTTTTAAAAATAAGGTTTAGATCCTGTCTCCAAATATTTCTTCTCTGTGCTTCTAATATGAATTTTGTCAGTCCTTACAGAAGTGATCCCCCTCCCTAGCCTAAACCCAGCTATATCTCTGATATTTCAGACAAGTGAAAACCAGAAGATTTTGAGTAACCATAGTTAACTTTTGTGTTAGACTTTCTTCAATTAAAAACTCACTGGAAGAACAGAGCAACAGCAATGACAGACAGTGATGTTTTAAAGAACATGAAAGCATTTCTGTTCCCTTAGAATTACCACTGCATTAGCTTTTGCTTGTTTGCAGGATTTTGCTTATGAGGAAAAAAAGGAACTCCTCTTCAATCACATCCACCATTCATTTTTTTTTCAAATACTGTGTGGAAGAGACAGACATTTTTTGATAATTATAAAAAAAAATTTCTCCAGGAGAAAAAAGAAATAGAATTATGGTTTTAGGCATATTTCAATCTCAATCTTTTGTAACCACTTGTCATCCAAAAGTAGTGAAAAACTATTTCTATTTAATTCTGAATCTGTTTTGTTTGCTTAATAACAATTACATAGACAGTCTGTGAAAGATGTCATCTAGCTTAACACTGTAAAACTAGTTTTTGAAAGAATGGGTAACAAGAATTTAATGGTCAAAAGCTTGAAAAATACAAAATTGCTTTTTACAGTAAAATATAGTTGAAAATTTAGGAGAAGAATGAAAGCAACTTCTTTCTATGCATGGTAACTATTCCATGTTTAATCCAAGTGTTACAATTGAGTTCCTGTAATGCACTATTCAAGTCAAAGGTATTCAGTCTTCATCTCAGGCCCAGGGAACAACTGCCATGAGTAAATACTGCAGTGTTTAACTTTATTAAATAAACAAAAAAAATCCTTTGGCACGCACTTTTCAGTTTTGTAAAACAACTTTGAGAGAAAAAATAAGAATGCATGGGTGCACTTTTTAGTAAATTGAAATCCAAAGAAAGTCACATATTCCTGGTGCTATTATATATATACATATATATAACACATCAAATGTGACCTGCTACAATGACACAAACAAGCAGGAATCTTGTCCTGCTTCAAGTAGAGTACTTTAGAAATCAGTGACGATCCTATGTTTAACCAGTCATAAAAAAGACAGTTAAAAGCTTGAAAAACTGTAGAAGTTATTCCTACAGCTGCCTCAGAGATAGGCAAGTGTTATTTATATCAAAATAATAGCTTTCTTTTCACTCTGCCTTTTCACCTTTAGGTTAAAATCAATATATGTAGGTAAGTGGCTAATTCCACAAATCCCAGACCTTTGCAGAAAGTAACGTTCATGTTTTGATCCCACCAGAGACATTTCTCTACTGTCTTTTGGTGATTACTCTGTATCAAGGAGATCACTAATGAAATATTTCCCTAAACTTGTGGGATAAAGCTCAAGTAAATTTAAATAAAAATGAGTTTTGTTGACTTTGGCTTATTTGCCAATGCCAGTGTACATTGCTCTGAGCCTCAGAGATATGACAGCATTTTGAAGAAAGTATGGGAATGAAAAATAAAAATGACATTTAATCTTTGCCTGAATTGTGAATAGCTGCTATGCCAAGGCAGAATAGTAGAGATTCTAATATACAATAATTGTTCATAAACATCACTTACACTACAAATTCAGCTGAATTTTGTAAGAATTTTTTCCTTAAAACGAATAGCAGTTAGGAGAGAATTCTTCCATGTTTTTCCTTTTCAGGAAGATACATACTAAAATTATTCATCAGGCTCTGTGATGGTGATGAAGAAGGTGAAGGTTAATGTGGTCTTTATAACTTGAGATGAAACTGACCGTGTCCTTCACTTTGTCTGCACTTTCACCATCCATCCACAGTGAGAAAACACAGCAGTCTTCACCGCTACAGGCAACATTTAAAGATAGAGGTATCCAACCCAGTAGACCAGGTTAAACAGCAGGAAGGATGTAGGAAAAAAGACCCTGGAGTAAGAGTCCAGTTCTAAGATGTCTATGTGAATTCGTCCTCTCCTCCATGAGCCTGATTTGCACTCTTCATAACAACAGAAAAAGCTCTGACAGTCTTTCCCATCCAGACATTCATAGACACAGGCATCTTCAAATTCTTGCCAATACATGGCATTGTTCAATGTGATGACCGTAGCTGGTGGTCTCATATCAAGTACAGAATAATTCTGAAGAGACAAAAAAAACCACAACAGTTTGATAAGCTTTCATGGATGATGAAGATCAAATTAATAATCACGGGAAAAATCACAGGAGCTGAGAATAAGTGGTCAATATTTAAGAATTCTAGATTTAAGGAGCATCTTTCTTTCCCTCAAAAGATGCCTTTTCAGATGAATTTCTGTAAAGATATTGTGGAGTGGCAAGTTAAATAATTCTAGGTGTATTTCCTACTTGGGTAACTTAAGAATATATTTCCCAGTAATAATTTTCTTCACACTTATGAGTTCACTTACCTGTCAGAATATTATTTGCAAGTTGTTTTAAACATTTGCAGCCACTACATTTAAGAATGGATTCTGAAAAATAAGGAAATATCCTCCTTCTCCTTTTAATTATAAAATCACCTTCACTTAGCATAGATGCATTCACTGCCTCTTAACTTTATCATGATTTATAAAACCAGATACGGTCAGCAACAAATAGTGATCATTTCAGTACAGGATTTCAAAATGTCATCCCTAGGCATGTCCCTTTAGTGCTTATCACACTAGCCATGCTCAGAAACAAGACACTTTGTTAATAATGCATCCTCACAGTACCATTCGCTCCTAGACCTCTCCTTCTTCAATGTACTCCCTATTTACACTTTGTCAGCTTTTCTGTCACATAATTTTCTTTTCAGGAAGGATGCTTTCTCACAATAGTCTCCCTTCTCATTAAGCTATCCATTCCATCTTCACAAATGTCACCTCCTCCACTGACATCACTAGAAAAGGTCCCATCAGCTTTGCTGCCTGTCTGCACCGCCCTGGCAAAGCAGACACCAGCCCTGTCAGCACAGTTTTCTCTACCTAAGGGGCCCTTCCTCTCTCTGTGACTGTGCCGAGCTTTGCCTGCAGGAGCATGCTGGCTATGCACTAAGAAGTCACACTTGCTTGCATTCAGGAGGATGCTCTAGGTCCTTGCCTCCACACTTATTATACAAATTACTCAGCATTTTCTGTTGACAGTGTTCGTATGTATCTGAAAATTTTCATGCCAGATATGAAAAACATCGATGATATGACTGACGTGCCTCAGTGGAAATTTTTATTTTTCTATTGACTTCATTTTCTTTCTTTGGGTTTGGCACATGGTAATATTACCCATCTCACTAAAAATCCTGGTCCCTGAGCTAAGAACTTGATGTGGCACCTCTCTGCTTATGGGTTGGCATCAACATAGATAACTACATCTGAACAACTGCCCTATGGAATCCAGTCAATTACTTGTGGACACAATTCATTTCATCGTAAGTAAATGGCTAAAATCTCTCAGGTGCATTTTGCTATGGACTGCAAGGAGATTGAAGTTTAGGAGCAAATTATTGCAAATTGTTGTGAATAACTGAATCTCTCAGATTAGATGACAGAAATTACACCCTTATGGTCCTCTCATTTGTAAAGTTCCGGGTGGATGATTTCAGAGTCTTACAATGTGTTGCCATGTGCGAGATGAGTCTGAGGGAGATTATCAGAAATGGAGAGATAACTTGAGAGTGGAAGACGGAGATGAAGATGAAGTTCCTGAAACCTCTGTTTGACATTTTCTGGACTGTTTTATAATAGTTGCAACATCGGGTTTCCCCATTTTGAGAGTTTATTGTATTTTCCCTATTTTTGTATTGTTCCCTATTTACTTAAAATCCTGTTTCCCCATTGGTTAAATACTGCTGCAATGCAGTAGTTTCCTTAAATGTCCCATGTTCCCTTATATGTTTAAGCCTGTCCCATGTTCTACCCTACATAGCTCTATTTTACATGCTCCTACCAAGTTCCACCTCTTCTTCTAGAAAGTTCAACCCCTGCCATATAAAAAGCAGGAGCCAGGTGAAAAAGATTATTGCACAAGCAATCTTTTTTTGGCTGTAGCACTTCGAGGAGAAAAAAATTATTACTAGAGTATACGTGGAATTCTGCTATACCCCTGGGTCACATATTGTAAATTTATTGCAAGTCTTATGAAAATTTCCTACTCAGGGGCTGAAATTTTCCATGCCTGGCTAAAATATTTATGTCAAAAAGAAGAAAGGCTAAGTTAGATTTTGATAAATTAAGATAAATAAGTGCTCTGGCTCTGCAAAGGAAACTTTTTCGTCTGTCAGTAGCCTTGGGATTTTTGTTGTTGTTTTCTTATATCAACTATCTCCTCATGACAGAAGATAAAATAAATGCCCTGATAATACAGAGAGACTAATCTGGTTGTTTGAATCTCTGTCAGCTAGGAAGTGTCTTGAAGTGACAAGATACCAGGAGAAGGTGGATAGTCCCCGCTGTGTTCTGGGTATCCAGCTGAGCTAGGTTGGTAGGAGAGTAGTGCATGCAGAGTGGGCATCAGCCTAGTCCCACCCTGGTGGTCTACCTTGGACAAGGCAGTTCAGATGCAGTGTTAAACATGCTTAATACCATTATTTCAGACAAGATATAAATGTGTTCTCCGGGAGGAAAAAAAAGAGGTGGGATTACCTGAACACGGATTTACTAAGATTAGTAAATTTCATCTTTCAAGTATCATCATTACAAGGATGGAAAAGATAAAACGATGTCTTAAGAGCCAGAGACACTGCTTCTTCTAGCAATTTAAGCTATAATTTGAACAGAGAAGTTGTTTATGTATAAAAAAAAGGCCCTGTTCAATATCTGTCATGATGAAAAAAAGAAGAGTGAGTAAGAAACTTGAAAATGCTGGAGATAATTTCCAAGCAAATCAGACTGACTAGTTAAACCCTAGGTTGTTAAACCCTAATGTAATTTTAATCGTGTATCTTTTCCTCATCATTTTTAATTGGAAAAAGTAAAGTGCCACTACCCATTCAATGTGACTTTTTAACTTCATCTTTCAGAAAACTCTGTCAAAGGAATGACATCAGTAGAGAGTGTATAAATGCAATGATTTCTGGAAAACATTAATTTTCAATGAGCAGACTTTCAAAGCTGTACAAGGTCTTCAAATACATCAGAAAACTCAAATTAAAAAAAGAAGTTGTATAATGTTATTTGTAAAAGATAGGCTAGTAACACGGAGCTAGCAGTTGTAAATTATAAACTTCATCATATCCCAACCAAGAAATGCAGAAAACAGTGTTTCAGTTCTGACTCTGTTCTTATCTGATAACATTCAACCAGCTAATTAACTTCACCTTCTGTATGTTTCTGTATGCTTTATATTTGTATGTACTACAGCATACATTCCAGTTTCAGATTTCATACAACTTACAGACACTTATTTTGTGCTCTGTTTCAACTTTATTGCTGCTGTACAGATTCCATTTCTAGATATAGTACAACTAACTGTATTTAACTTGTGTGCCTGAATTATTTGAAAATCCAGCTGCAAGTTTGCTAAAGATTTTGCATATATGCATAAATGAACTATTTTAGTTAAAACTCCATATAAGTTTATGGCATAACTTGAGCTTATTACTTTTTTATAAAATGTAATAAGAAGCTGCAGTGTTATATAAAGCAGATACACAAAATTCCTGATGTAAAAATAACACACAGTGTTCTACACTTGACCCTTCTCCCTCCCAAATCACTTGGTAAGTTCTTATAGAAAGAGGCAGCTATGTTCCTCTGCCACAGCTGAAAACACACTGACCTTTTACCAAAAAAGCAAAACAATATTTATAGTGAAGTCAGGGTAAAGCATAACATAGCAATACAGATTCCTCGGGAATTAGTTCAAGTAAATGTCAACCACACATTCATACCCCCAATGCTCTCACTGAATAATGTAGTTTACTTACCATCACATGACCAAAACTTACATCAGGTAGCTTAAAGAAAGATAGCAAAAGAATTATTCAGAAGAAAACATACTTATTGCTTCATACGCATCTAAGTTCAATAGCATTCCTTGAACCAGTGCATTTGTTCATAAAAGACTTCATAATTGTGTTCTGTATATTCAGCATAATAATCTGTACACTTGAAAACTTGAAAGCTCAGCAGAATGTGCACCTAGTTTCCATATAGTTAAAATTTTTACTCAAATCATTACATTTGTTTATCTATCAAACAATAACTAAGTGAGAATTTGTTCAGGTATTAATTTAAATCCAATCAATTCTGCATGCTTTCCCTCATCTTCATTCATGTCTGGAAATACATCCTACTAACAAAGATATGAGTTTCTAATTCAGTCTTTCTAAAGGATGGCAAGTTTAGTCTGATCATTAGCAAGTTCATTTTGATTGTCTCATACTTTTCCTTTGGTAACACTCTTGCTTCTTGTGTGCAACACATTTTACAAAAAGCTATTATAGGTTTAATGGAGTTTTCATTGACTAAGTCTGTGGCTTTCTCAGCTTTTTCTAATACCATATTTGTTTCAGCTTTTCCTTCATTAGTTCTTCATTCAATCATTTTCTATAGCACTTCATTCAATCCCTTTTTATCTCATGACCTATTATTCCCTAAATTTAGCCTTCTGTCTCTTCCTCCTTCACACTTTTCCTATTTGGCTTAGATTTCTGATTTCAAATGTCCTTATTTCCTCCATTATGTACAATAGCATCCAAAATCTTCAATTACTGATTTTGAACACATAAGATGTGTTCACTGATCCTGAGAGGAGAACCCCCTTCCCTGTGTTTACACTGAGGTTTTTGTCTCTGTTAAACTGCCCCCTCTCATTCTCATAGTCAGTTATGAAGTATACCAGGCAATTCTTCTTGCATGATTGTTTTAATTGATTGTAAATGAACAGCTTTTGTATGTTTCTGGGTATTACACTTGGAAGTAGTTTTTTGGCCAAAAATGCAGCCGTGTATAGTGACCTCCTTTTTTTTTTTTTGAACATGTACCTTTGTGCACAGGGCTACAAAAAGTGCTGGTTCCCAGTAGAGGCATGGAAATTCTGTTTGTGAAGTTCATAAATATTTCTAGACCTGTTAAGCCATGAAATAGCAATGCATTGAATATATATTGATGTGCATATATTTGTATAACAAGCTATGCAATCTGTTTCAGTGGGAGCCCTTTATGATTACCAGCACAGTAAATGGAGGACAAAAGACAAGTAGGTAGGGTTGCTGCTTCATGGTCAGCAGGCTGCTTCTATTAGGAACAGACCTCACTGAGAAGGCACATAACTGCTTCTACTGTTATTGCAGGTAACTCTTCCATCTGCTTTCAGGGCAGATCACACCGGAAACTGGGAAAATCTTGGAGGAGTGGACTGTCATGGCATTACAGGCTATCACTGAATGATTGTCCGCCCTCTGAGCTGCATATGAAAAGAAATTTAAATGCTCCCATCTTACCGACTTTTTCTTCTTAGTACAGCTTGGTTTCCGGCAACTTGAGTAGTAGTTGAGTGTGGCATACTCCATCAGAGCAGCAAAGACAAATAGAAAGCATACAGTCACAAACAAATCCATAGCGGTGACATAGGAGACACGGGGTAATGACTTTCTTGCAATGGTACTCAAAGTTGTCATGGTCAATACTGTAGTGATGCCTGCAGAGAGAAACTTGATTTAATTGTATGCAACACCATTTATCCGTATCACAGAACAATCTTTGGAAATAAACATACTAAACAAATCCAGAATGTACCCAAGTAATTAATTAATTTCCTTTAGTAGAATTAAAAAATAAGAGAAAATAACAGCAGTAGAGCCAATATTATTTTGTAAACAAAGATTTTCTTAGTTTATTTTCATCTTTGCAAAAGTGACATTCCCACACCTCTCAATATGCTCTTCTTCATCTTGTGCTTTTCCTGATCCCAGTGAGATTGGAGGTGGGGTGAGGGAGAAGGAGAGAATGAACTTTTTCAAGAAAAGTATAAAACAGAAAAGATACTAAACCCAGAAAAATAAAAAAAATAAGAAATCTAGAAAACAATGAAGGAAATCTGTTCTGCAGTAATATTGCTCTCATGAAAAATCTTGTACTCAAAAAAGAAAAAGAGGTGGAGGGAGAAAAGAAAAGAAATTTTGCTGCAAAGTTCTGACCATGAATTCTGAAAGTATGTTTTCACACCACTGCTTCCTTGGGAGACCTCCACCGCTATTTTCCTTCTGAGTAAGGGAACTCAATGTCACTTGCTCAGTCTAAGACTCTCATACATAATGTTCAGATGTAACATTAATGGAAAGAGCCTTTTTAATTCACACAAAGCATCACTTCTTAGATTGATTTAGTAATAATGAATATAATGGGAATTAATTAGTGTGAAATATCTAAAACAATAAAACTAGTCCTAGAATTAAATCTATGTCATGTCAGTCATGTAAGTGCCAGTGATTCATATATTTTCTCTTCATTCCTGAGGAACAGAAGTCTTTTCATTCCCAGCTTGGACTGATACTTTTAATCATTTGTTGTGAACTGTAAGTCTTCTGATAGAAAAAAAATAAAACTTCTCAATGGCTTGGGAAAAAATATAAAGCTCTCACTCAAGTACATCTCAAGAGAGAATCTGCTTTACAAACAACATAACCATAAGGTAATCTTTCTTTTTTATAGTTAAAGTGATACTTCACAATGGTTCACAGTGTTTGAAATGTCAAGGGCTGAATGAAATTATGCCTTATAGTAAAATTACTTCTCACAAAGAGCACTCTAGAAAGAAAGAAGTACCTGTGGATTACTTTTGAGTACTTTCTCTTTATGAAGGTTTGTCCCTCTCTGATTTGTAACGTTTGATAGAAGCTACAATGATTCACAAGAATAACCCTCTCCATTTAAACCAACAGAAATTCCCTGGAAAAGCCAGAAGGGAAATTACTGCCCAGGTCTCAACCTTCATCTACAATGATTAATAAGTAATTGAATTCCTTAAATATCCCTTACCTAGAATCAAAATAACAAAAAGTTTCTGAAAAAAACCCACAAGTCAATAATCAAGATTAAAGCAATGCTGACAGGAAGTGGGAAGTATGGACTGTGTGTACCTTGGACATCTACAAGCTATTGGGAAAATATTTCCATTTCCTGACATCTGTGCCACCTCCCAAAATCAGCAGACGTGGCTGCCATGATCCAGCAACCTCTCCAGACCCCTCAACATCAGTTCTGTAGCTAGCTGATGCTCTGAAAAAGCTCCAGAGCCAAAGACCGTGCTTAGGCATTCATCATGGTAGGCAACTGGAAAGATGTCCAACTGCAAAAGGTGTTGACTCTCTGGCCTTGATTTGGTCCTTATTAGCTACAGGCTATTAGTCTTTCTGTATGACCTTGGGAGTCACTAACTTCGAAAGAACTGCATCCAGACTATGACATACTCTACAACATAAAATGAACTTCTTAAAGAATTTCTAACTCACATTTAGATTTTTAACACAAATTTGTCCTTTTCAGAGCCACATGTACATGCACCTGTCTTCAGGTATTTTGCTACCTTTAAAAAATTCCTCAAAACCTATAGAGTTCTTCCAGTACAATATACAGTGTCCTGTTTACTTGGACTCAAATAAAAGTTTTTATTTCTCACTCCTCCAGTGATAGGACAGTTTTTATTAAAAGGCTAGAAAGAGAAAAAAAGGGAGAAAAAACCTTGCAGTGCTCAAAAGCATTTTTGAAAAGTCTGCAATATTTCTGAATGTTGTATTGACAGTGGAATATTTTTCTTCAATTTTTACTGAAATGGAGGTATAACTGCATTATCTGTGCAGGTATCTGTAATTATGACTAGCTTCCAAACTGACCATGGACAGGAAGGCAGAGAAGTGAAAAAATAATTACCATGAGCCTCTGTGCTTAAGTATTTAAGTCCTCAACTCAGCCTGCATCCTATATCCATGCCTTAAACCTGAATGAAACACCAGCTCAAATCATGCTCAAGACTGGATTCCAACTCACATCATTAAAAAACATTAAGTTTTTGAAATAATGAAAATTCTATCTAGTGTATCAATTTCATATCTAGTACACCAGCACAAATCTTAAAGTACTAAAATGAGTTTCTGGGGTTACATACAGAGAAGAAAGGGCAAGAAGGTGCACCAGACGATACAGTTTCATATACCTATGCATTTACAAGTCAGAATATAGATATGTATGTATGAATAAAATGGAACATCATTATTTCCAAATATAATATCTAGATTCATTTTAGCTCATTTTATGTCTCATGCTAAGAAAATTCAGTTTGTTGAGTAATTTCAAATGCAATAAGTCTTGCCAGATGAAATTGGTAAGTCTCTCACTTTGTGGAGTCACGTATCGCCAAGTGAGCTTTGCATCTGTTACTGAAATTCACAGTGCTCATGAACTGTTTATTCCAACAGAATTTTAATATCATCCAAGGACAGCTTTGAAGTAACCTGACTTCAGAATTTTCAGGTAGAAAGTGTAAGTATGAATATACAAGTTTGTTCTCTGAGTACATTATATTCTCTGAGTAAATTCCATACCAAAGATGCTATTTGATAAAACAAAAACTACTGTCTGGGATGTCAAATGATGCAGGTATATATGAATGAAATGCATGAAAACATTTTTAAACTGCAGTTTGAAGTTGCTCTGTAGTAACTTCCCGGTCCTATTACACATTATACCCAATTTGAAAAGTAGGGGGAAACTGGGATGAAAGCTTCAGTTTAATTTAATTCCCTTCATCCTCAAGGAAAACAACATATTCTTTTCCAATTCATAACTTTTTTTCAGGCACTTGCTGGCTGTTCTTCACTATGAACTTCGTGAGATCATTCTGATTACTAGAGACAAGTAGATATTGAAGAGACCCTTTTTTTCCTCTGTCTTTGAATGAAGACCAGAATAACCTGGGATCACAAAACACAGTTCTCATCCAAAGCTCAAATTTTACTTTCATTTTCCCACTGAATCTTCAGGTGGCCTGGAGTTAGTCTCATTGCCACTCTGGACCTTGGTCCCTCAAAGTGTATGTGAAAAGGGGACTATGATGCCAAGCTTTTAAAGAGCACTTTGATGCCTATGGACAGTACTGCTAAAAGGATACTTACGGTCCCATAGACCAATTAATTTTTTTCCCTAGCACAGAAGTAGTTTATTACTTAACATTATTCAGAAAGTAAAACCTGTCCTTCATATAACCGTGAGTAGTTGCTAATAGCTTAGGAAATTATTCATTAATTTCAGAGAGTGAAATATTTCCCTAATGCTAGCCCTTTACATTAATGCAGCTATACTTGGATATGGTTTGGTGCACAGAGTCAACAATTAATTTCAACTAATTAGTAGGAAAATTTTAGCAATTTGCCTTTGGCTGTATTACTCACAATTTCACCATGTGCCACTATCCAAATGTGAATGTGTGTTGTTGCTCAGACAGATTTCTAAATTGCATTATATAAGCAGGCCTACAGTAAAATAGGAACAACCACTTACTGCATCTGAAGAATCAACAGGCCATTGCTAATTTGGAAACAATTTGACTCTGTGCACAAAAAGTGACACATGTATATATTATTTATTTTTTATTTGACTTCATTTATAGAAAAGTTGTATTTTAGCCTATAAATTTAGTTCTCCATTGGAGTTTTAGCAGTGAGTCATGATATCCATTGAATACAGCCTTGGAACATCTCAGTTTTATGTTCTTACTCCAAATTCATGACTACAGCTGAATACATTTTTGTCTGAACTTCTTGCTGGCTGAGAGAGTGAAGCAGGGAGAGTCACACTGTAGTGATTAGTGATCTAACCCACTTCTCTGTCTAATTAATTGGAAAACTGAGCTGTGTGATGTGGGGAACCACCATCAGGAACAGGATATGAACAGTGCTTATGGCAAATTAAGAAGAAAGGCGTTCAGCAAAGAAGTACACTAAAGACCTATTGCTCAATTTTCTGGCTATCAGAAGCAAGTCTACACAGCCAGAAACAGGCAGTTGTGCAGCTGCTCTGTGGTCTTTTTGCTGTCCTGGATGTCACAGAGTAACTGTCAATCTAAGGGTCCGTCATGTTGCTGGAGCCAAGGTTTAACAGCACTTTGGCACTCACATGAAAGAAGTGAGGACTGAATACTCCTTTCTTTTAAAATAACTCCAGAAAAATGGATCCACCTCATAACAAACTCCAGCAGAATGATGCAATCTGTAGCTGGGAATGGTAACCTCTATCCTTGAAAACAGACATGCAAACCTTGACATAGCCTCTACTTTTTTCCTAGACTGGTAGATTTCTGAATCAGTTTCTATAGGCAGACCTGGCAACCACAACCTGAACTAAGATGTTGTTTTTCCTTTGGTTCTGATGTACACCTATAATTGGCAGTTATATAGCCTTGTATTCTTAATGCTTGCAAAACCTGCAGGTTTTCCTTAGATACAAGAATAAATTTCCAAGTGTCTAAGTCAACATTTCTAAAGCACATTGCCAAAATGCACAGGCTGGTCCTGACATAAATGAGCTTCTGGAAAACCTAAACCACCATAAATCTCCACAATCTATGAAAAATATGAATATACCCAGTGTGAAACCTATCTTCAAGTATACAATCTAAAACACTTTTTATAAGTTAATGCTATTATATCCCACAGTTTTCTGGGCATATATAAGACACAATTCCCTGTGGTGAAGAGTTTCAGAAGGGACGGAACCAGCAGTGCAAGTAATTAATTCTTCAAAAATGTCACTAAGATGTCATAGTGAGAACAAGGAGATAGATATTAATTCAAGAGATTTATGCAAAATAGGTGGCAGTGTCATCCAAAGGGTCAGACTGGTATACTCTTAATTCTTTAATTTCTTCCTGTTACAGGAAGAGAACCAGAGGTTTCAGTGATAAGTAGATCTGGGTCTGCAAGACATAGTAGCAATAATCCAAAGTGTACAGTGGCCTCTTTGAAAGGAAGCTTACATTTTCAAATGGTAGTATAGGAACATCACAAAGACAGAAGAAAAGGGTAATATTAAAAACTTACCTAATGCTGTTCTTGCTGGTGTAGCATCTTTTTTGATCCAAAAGGATACCCAGGAAAGAACAACTGTTAATATACAGGGAATGTAGGTTTGAATAGTAAAGTATCCCATTCTTCTACTTAAGTCGAAGTATATAGTCATGACTACATAATCACCTGCAATAATAACACAGAAAATAAATTGACATTGTGGTGTGATACAGACAGTTATTCACTGATCTGCTAATATTTTAAACTTTATAAAAACACTCATATGAAATATTTTTCAGTGTTTCAACAGCATCTGTGCAGTATTGTTCACGTGAAATTTAAGTAAACTATGTTATTTTAATTTCCTTAAGTTTTAGCTCTCTGTAGAAATTACCTGTTAGTAATCATTTTGGATGAGTAAAGTTTTGAAAGGCATCTTGAATTTCCAGACTTGATATTTCTGGGTTGCTTTATGACCACAAACATGAAGATATTATCATTCACCAGATTCTGTAACCAAGGCACACAAAATCCTTCCTTTTGCGGACTTTGTCTTCCATGCCCTAATTTCAGGTTTGAGTGACATCTGTTATCTTCTTTTGAGATATGAATCAGAAAGTAGGGGTCTTTATGGCAAGTCTAACATGCACATGAATATGCCCTTAATAAGAAGTCATTTAGAGACACTAGAGCCTCAATGCTGATGATAGACTCTCTTTTTGTCAGCATTCCTTCATTTTGAAACAGTTGTGGCCTTTTTTGATAACTGTAAATCTTCAGTAGGGCAGTCTGGATATAAAGTTTATTATTCTGCTGGATAGTAAAAACCGTAAAATCAAGAGCTCAGTAAGAAGGCTAGTTTATCTCACATTATATGATTTTTTTTGCAGTATCTCTTCTGCTAACCCTTGTGACACCACAGGGAATAATAATCTGTGCCTCTCTCTCTCCTCACTAGAGGGTACTAACCTTATCACCTCTGTCCTTACTAACAACTCCCTCAGCTCCATAGATGTTGGCTATCCTTCTCTCTCAGTCACAGTGATTAACAGTAACAAAACTAAACTGTGACCAATTTCTGTACTTTGTTTGAAGTATGTTGCTTCATTTCAGATGTGAAGAAGAGATAGAGAATTTTTACGGGGTTTTGTCTGACTACATCAGACTTGGCCTAATAAATTATATGGCTTCTTATTATAAACTTTAACTTTCTAGAATATGATATTACAGAAGGCATCATTTGCAATAGCTAAGTGACTATAGCTAACTGACTACATCCTGTTACAGCAAACCATGGGAATGAAGAAATTGGTAGCACATACTGATTAATCCCCCAAGGAATGTACATAAACTCGCCCAAGTAGAGGGATAATGGGTTTATTAGTTGAGGCAAATTAAAGCTTAATCTTCCAGTAACAGAGAGTATATAAACAAATGTATTTAATACAGTGGATAATTTGACTATAGCTAAATATTACACAGAAAAGAAATTCATTCAGTAAGAATAACTTCCATCCAAAGCATTTCTGAAAGCACTGTAAAATCAATGAATTATCATAAACTACAAAGTTAAAGGTAAATAAAAATCTGATTGTGGGAACTGGAGAAAGAAACTTAAAACAATGTCTCAAAAGGAAAAGTTCCTATGTGTTGAGTACATCAGTTTGAGAGATATATTTGGAAGAGTTTGATAACCCTGTGTTTCCATAATGCCTTTGTTAGATGAATGTGTACATTTTGAAAAGTGTGTGACCCCAAGAAGCTGGACAGTCATTTCAGAAGTCTTGTGTATTTGGCATTATGAGACAGAGCTTTAATAATAGAGCTCACTGCTGTTACAAGCAGGAAGTATTGCAGTACATCACGACATAGTAAGCCTTGTGGGTTATTCTACAGGCTAAGGGTTGTTTTCATTCCACTAATTCCCAGCACTTTTCTCCACGCAGGGAATGGCACCAGGGAATTGCTGCGGTTTAGTAACCACAGGTTCTGATGGCTTATTATTAGACTGCTTTGCTGCACTGAAGAAACACCACAGCAACTGAGATCATTTCATAGAAACAGGTGTAAGGAATCAGGTACAGTGTAAACCAGTGCTTCTACTGACATGAACCAACTGAAAAATTTCAAGAAAATGTTAGTGTTTCATACATAGTCTGCTAAGGTAGAAGGATGAGCAAAAAATGAAATCAAAGACTCTATAGGAAATATGCCAAGCCTTTACATTTCCCTTATTTAGTTACTGTATAAAAACTGCATGAAAATGGTATAAAATCAAGCAATCTGCAGACTTCTCATTGTATACAATGATATATGATACACACAATTCCAGTACCCACACAGGTCACTACTCCACTCAATAGTGTGATCCTGATACCCAGCACAGCAATTGAGAGTACTGGGAGAGTAAGGCAGAGTCACTGCTTCCAAGGTCTTCAACTAAAATAAACCTGATAAACTGAGAGTGGGAGAAAACTGCATGATGTAGAGAGTCCATCACCACATTTAGTCACTAAATGATTTAGTGTCTTTCAGGCAGAATTCATTTCCTGTGATTTTAGATATCTGGAAGGGAAATTCTACAGATGACTGCACACTGTAACCTCTTTTCTATATTCAATGGAAAGAAATTGGTACTTTCAATGTATGCTTTTTCTTGTCTGTTTTAGAGGTAAATTTTAGAAGGTAAATGTATCCAAAATATTTCCCCTTCTCTCCCATGATTAAAAAATGAGAGTGAGTGGCTCAGATGTGGACAAAACCATTGTAGACACTTGCAGATCATCCAGGGAGTTTATCACAACCCTTGATTCCATGATGAGAGCTAAATTGTGCAACTTCTGTGAGGGTACTAAGATTATTTTTCTTAAATATAATAACTTTCTTAACCTTTTAAAGGGTATTTTAGTTATTTTCCTCCTTGGTTTCACAGTTAAAGTTGATGTCCTTATCCTTTAGGATATGCACAACTCCTTCTCTGCTTGTTCCTCTGTTCTCCTCCACCTTCCTTCCTTCTTTCCTTCCTTCCTTTTTTCCTTTCCCAATGCTTATTGCAACAGAACTTTTCACCTTTTCTGCAGGGCATCCTTCCAGCTGGATAAACAAAGGAACTGTGACTTGGTAAAATTTTACAAAAAGCTGCAAATTCCCAGGTATCCAACAAGGACCCACAGATGTATAACAAGCACCCAATGAAGACGAAATCCTACATTCATTTAGCCACTAACCTATTTTCTTGTCTGAGACCCACAGAAATTCTCACAATGAAGAAGGCAGACCCAGTCATACAGGCAGCAGCTGTGCATATTTACTTATGTACTGTACCCTCTGTGCTGCCCTCTAATTTATGGGAACACACTGATAGATAAAATACCAAGCAATTTGATTCTGTGGTAATAGTGATACAAAGTGGATGTAAGAGGAGAATTTGGTGGTACTCCTACAGTACTCAAACCATGCTTAGAGAGAATGTAGCTCTGAGACAATGAATGCTGCTGACAATATTCATGGGAAGAGGAAATCACCACTGTTGAAATTCAGAGCCCCGGCTGAAAGCACCAGTGTTGTGGCTTCTCTCAGAGGCAAGCCTGTTCCTGTACAACATATGGTGAATGATTTTTTTTAATAGAGATTGTAAATTACAATTTTAATTAAATTACCACTTCAGTTCTATCCTCAGCCAAGTCACTTGCTGTTGAGATTCCTGGATTCTCTCTTTCCACACAGAAAAACCAGTATGTATGTGCTATGGCTACTTTCTTCATTGCACTACTCCAAACTGCATTATTATTGTTGTTGTTGTTATTATTATAATTACTAATACTACTAGACTATTATTCAAATTATTCCTTCTAGAAGTAATTATTCTCTGTATATCTGAAAAGACTTGCCTACAGATAAAACAGAAGTAGCCATGGTACATGTATTTCTGACTTCCTTTATACAAACAAAATAATTTGTACAAAGAAACTCTCCTCTCTTCTGAAAGACCTGGGATACAATCTCCTTCCAAATGGCATATCATTAAGCCAGTGTACTTGGTATAAAAGTAATCACACAGTGATTGCCTAGGGGAGGACCACTGGAATACCTAATACCCAAAAACTTCATTTTGAAACCCAAAGAGGAATTCTACCTTTTAACAACTTAAATAATATTCCTAGGAAGGCAAACTAACTTTTAATTGAATGATCAGACCATCAATTCACTGAAATAATGAAAAATATCTTGAGGCAAAACAGGGCATGATCAGTTTTCTGTAGTGAGAGCAAAACATGCACCTTGAGGCAACAAATCTGGAGTAATAGAAATAGTGTAGCAATGCTTCCCATGAAACCAAGATGACTGCTGCCTGTGACCCATAGGACTTATGTTAGCCTAAGTTTCTAGTTTCAAAGTAGGACACTATTTAGAACAATTACAATTTTTAATGTAAGAACTGCTGTAGAATTTGATGGACCGTGTTAAACTATAGCCTATTTCCTTTTTGTTTTGAAGACTAAGGATGTGGTTGCCTGAATTGCCAGAATTTTGCCTATGTTGTATGAAGAACAGTTCCCTTAAAGGTAAAATGTTTTAGCAGAATGCAAATGGTTATTTTACAAAATATAAATAAATTTTAAATATAATAAAATATAAATAAATTTAAAATATAATATAATTTATTTACTCAGACTACACTACACTATCTTATGTCACATTTTCATTTATCCTCCCATTACTCTGAGGTTAATGAGTTCTACAATCCAAATTACCTTAGAAAAAAGCTAAACAAAGAATGACTTTACAAAGACATATACACAGATACAACAGAGCAGCTTCAGCACGTGGGTGGAGGTAACACGCTAATTGTCCATCACTGGAAATGTAGACTAATGAGGAGTGGGAGGTTTATCCATGTAGTTATGAGAGTTTGATAACAGAAGAAAGCCCTAGTCATGAGATCAAGGACTCACACTGTGTGTCACAAGTATTTCTTCGTTGACAAGTGAGACCACAGAGACTACACTGAGCCATCTTCCTCCTTATCTTAATAAATCAAATTTACATAATAATAAGTCAACTAAGTTTCTAATCTTCAGTGCTTTTTTTTTTTTTTTAGTTTTCAGACATTTGCTTCCCAAAGCTCAGTTTTTTTATTTCCAGAACTAGGTTTTCCTTCTTTCTTAGTAAGCTGAAAATTTTCT